TTCCATCCATAGTGTTTCTGTAAATTAATCTATTTCTTTTATATTCTCAGTATTACTGGACCATATATCTTCTCTGACATACAAAGCCACTCCACCAGGCTTCCCAAGTACTTACCGTGATTCGGGGGGGACGAAGATGTCTTCGCAGGATCATTCCTGCAGGGACAACAGACGTGCCGCACCATGCCGTCGCCAGGAAGTGACGCCGGGCGACACTCTGGCAATGGGGCTGAAAACTCGATGGTACCATCGAGTTTTCAGCCCCATTGCCAGAGCGTCACCCAGTGTCATTTCCTGGCGATGGCATGGTGCGTTACAAGGAGAAATGTTCCGGCTGGGGAGCATGTGTCCCTCGCCGGATTGCGGTAAGTACTTGGCAACCCTACACTCCACTTCCGACCCTTCCCTCTCTATCCTAATATAATTTATATCCAGGAATCACTGTATCCTACTGATTATCCTCATCCCACCAAGTTTCTGAAATGCCCACAGTGTCTGTGTTCTCCTCTGACACTAAGCATTCAAATTCCCCCCTTTATCTCAAGTGCTTCTAACATTTGTATATAAACATCTATAACAAACATCTATAATTTCCCAGACACATTAGGCCTGCAACCTTCCTCCTGTGGCCTCTAGACCTTGTCAGGCAGCCAATATTGTTTGCCACCCTCTTAGTGGCCAGTCTTAATCCATTTCCCTCTCGAACAGTAACAGTTCCCCTTCATCTCTTAGAGATGAGCCATCCTGAACCAGAGCTTCTAACATTTGTATATAAACATCTATAACAAACATCTATAATTTCCCAGACACATTAGGCCTGCAACCTTCCTCCTGTGGCCTCTAGACCTTGTCAGGCAGCCAATATTGTTTGCCACCCTCTTAGTGGCCAGTCTTAATCCATTTCCCTCTCGAACAGTAACAGTTCCCCTTCATCTCTTAGAGATGAGCCATCCTGAACCAGAGACATTCCATCTTCTGTTGGCTTCCCCCCAAGAATTAGTTTAAGAACTGTTCTGCCAGTGCCACCTTTTTGATTTTAAGCACCAGCAGCCTGGTTCCTTCTCAGGACAAGTGGAGGCCATCTCTTTTGTACATGTCCTGCTTGTTCCAAAAAGCATCCCGGTGCCTAACAAACTTAAATCCTTCTTCCCTACCCCATCGTCTCATCCATGTATTGAGACTCCTAACTTGTGCCTGTCTAGCTGGTCCTGCGCTTGGAACAAGCAGCACTTCTGAGAAGGCTACCTTGGAGGTCCTGACCTTGAATCTCCTGCTTAGCAGCCTAAATTTGCATATTAGAATGTAAATCCTACTGAAATTAATGGCACTTACTTTCACATAAATGATGAATAGGATAGAGTAGTGGTGGTGCCTTCTATATGAGAAACTACCTTACACAAATTTAAAGAATCTGTACACTTGGGAGGAGCATTAATTAGATCTAACGATCAAATTTACTGTACCAGTGTTAAGGACCTGCTAGTGGTAGCTTCATTGTGCCTTATACTCTAGCAGTTACCAGCAGTTAATATTTGTGCATGCTGAAGACAGGTAACAGAGAGGCAGAAATCATAAAAGAAACTAATCTGAAGTAAGCAAACATTCTAAGAAGCCTCTCTTCCACCCCCATTTTTTACTTTTAACTACTTTTAAAATACAACTTGACCCACAACTGACTCACAGACAACCTCCGGAGGCATCTGGATCGGGGTGGGATGGCAGTGCTGTCGTTGTTGGACCTGTCGGAGGCGTTCGACACGGTCTACAATCAGCTACTGATCCACCGCCTCGCCGACATGGGGGTACAGGGGTTTGCCTTGCAATGGCTTGTCTCCTTTCTCCACGGTCGGGGACAAAGGGTGGCACTTAGGGATCAGATGTCCCGAAGGCACCCGCTTATTTGCGGAGTGCCCCAAGGGGCAGTGCTCTCCCCAATGTTATTCAACATCTACATGCGCCCCCTTACACAGGCTTGGGTGTCACCAATATGCGGATGACACCCAGATGTATCTGTTGTTGGGCAGCCAGTCCAACTCTACCCCGGACGATCTGGACTGGGCACTGGAAAACGTGGCTTAGACTGAGTTGACTGAAACTGAATCCAATGAAGTTGGAGGTCCTGTGCCTGAGTCGGAGTGGACCGGGGGTAGGGATCCTATTGCCAGCCTTCGATGGGGCATCATTGGTGCCAGCGCTGAGGGTCAGGAGTCTGGGAGTGCTCCTGGATGCCGCCTTAACAATGGAGGCTCAGGAAGCAGCCACTGCCAAGGCTGATTACCATCTTCGGCTGATTAGGCAGCTGGTTCCCTTCCTCGAACGCAATGACCTGGCAACAGTGATCCACGCAATGGTCATGTTGAGATTAGACTACTGCAATGCTCTCTACATGGGGCTGCCCTTGTCGCAACTCTGGAAGCTGCAGGTGGTGCAAAATGTGGCGGCCGGGCTGCTGATGGGCAACCCTATGTGGGATCCAGCCTTTGCTGAAGGCATTGCACTGGCTGCCTATAGCATACCGGATTTGCTTCAAGGTGCTGGTTTTGACTTTTAAAGCCCTATGTGGCCGGGGGCCTGCCTACCTGAAGGACCGCCTTTCCCCACATGTCCCCCAGAGAGCACTGAGGTCAGGGTCACAAAATCGTTTGGCCCTCCCTGGACTGAAAGATGCCAGACTGGCCTCTACCAGGGTGAGGGCCTTTTCAGTGGTGGCTCCACACTGGTGGAATGAGCTCCCGAAGGACATCGTGGCCCTGCGGGACCTTTTACAGTTCTGCAGGGCCTGTAAAATGGAGCTCTTCCACCAGGCCTTCGATTAGGAGCCGCCACTAATAACAGCAATTATATTAGTAACATCAACTAACATTAACTGAACTGGAGAATACGAGCTAACTATACCAGATGCTGATGGGGGCCATTTTTTGGGAACATCGATCATGGTCACCAAGTTGTTATTGTCACCAGCACTTTATTTTCATTTTATTCTATTTAATTGTTGAGCTATGCTTGTCATGTTTGTGTTTTAATGTGTTTTTAACCCTTATTGTAAGCCACCCTGAGCCTGCCTGTGGTGGGGAGAGCGGGATAAAAATGGAATAAAATAAATAAATAAATAAAGGCAGTCTATAGACTGAAGAGATAGGAAATTGAAATAATTCCCGTTTCATCCTCTGGAGCACAAGTGCAGCCAGTCTCCAAACTGGACAATGTGTAACCAGATGAAAAGAATTATCCAAGAAACGAAGAAATCGTGCATTTAAGTCTGGTTACATTTTGATTCTGATCCCACCTGGCCCAATGCTCTCTGGACAGAAAGGCTCGGATTACTGCTGTCTGACTTCAGCCAAGAAGGGTAATATTTGGCAACCTTAAAGCAATGTAACACTGTGTAGTTAGAACCTTAAAATGTAGCTTCTTTGTTCTATTTCTCTCTGTTATGCCCTTTTTGAAATATTCCTGCACTCTTTAATAAATATCTTTTGATTATACTTGGGTGTTCTGTGCTTCAAGCACTTCAATCTAATTTCAGCACCTTAAACTTTAAGAGTCCACCCACCAGGTTAATTGTAGCAGAAACTCATTCTGCAAGTAGCCTACCTTGTAGGATTTACTTTCTTAATTCCCAGTAGGGTTAGAAGCTTGCCCCTTGGCTTCTGACTCTGTGGGTGCGTTCAGACGGGGGATTTACAACGGTATAGGTGCCGGTTCCAACCGGTGTACTTACCGGTGTTCACACGGCGAACATCTGCCTCCCATCCCTAACCGTTGTAAAGGCCTTTAAACCGTTGTACTCCGCCACTAGGTCCCCAAGTGGTGGTATCCTGAGTACAACGATTGCAATTGCTGTACCCCTCCGTCTGATCGCTCTCCACCGGTTTCTAGCCACTTCCGTTCGGAAGCCTGAGGCTTCCGATTTCCCCCCGCCATTTTTTTTAACTGAGCGATGTGCGCTTGGGCGAAGCTTCGCCCTGAGCGGTTTTTTTTTTAAAAAAAGCCCTTAGTGTAGCGTTTTGGAGGAGTCCGGGACTTCAGGGAGGCCAGTTTGGTCTTTAAACTTTAAAGGTAAGTCCTTACCTTTAAATGTAATATGGGATGTTTTGAGCATGCACAAAGATCGCCATTCTGTGAATGGCTGCCTATGCGCATGCTCAAACTGAGTTTAAAAAAAAAGCCGATGCCCGCAGCGTGTGAGCGGGCATACAGCGATGGGATCCGCAAAATGGAGGTAAGTGTGATCGCGTTTCAGCCGGCATAAACTGCACCGGTTCCAACTGGTACAGTTTATGCCAGCTGAAATGCCGTGTCTGAACGCACCCTGTGGGTAATTCAAGGGGTTGGTGGCAGACTACTGGAATGGGACATGTGTGGATACATGCCCCAGTTTTTTTTGTGATTTTGTGCTCTGCTGGACTGTACCAGGAATTCCCTGGGCTGGGGATTCCTGGGATTTTTTCCTACTGCTTCAGAACCAACACGGCCTGGTTAAGTCTGATCAGGTTATTAAAATTAAATATTTTCATACTAACCTGAGAGGTCTTTGGTGCAGCAACCTAAGTCAGGTTGACTGATGCATAGTTTGCTACCGTCCATGTTTTGATCCCCCAGTAATAATGCATCCGTTCATCAGTAACCACTTAAGAGAGCAATCCTAAACAGGTCTACTCAGAATCATACTCAGGTCTATTTAGTGGGATTTACTCTCAGGAAAGTGTTCTTAGGATTGCACTGTTTTTTACTTTAAGAAAGGGCCACATGAGTTTCAAAGAAAGCCCATCATACCTGCTCGTAGTCATATTTCCATAGACATTGATATTGCTAATGTTTATAAAGGTCAATGCTCAGCATGAGGTTCTAGACATGTCCCTCCCAGCACAAAATTCATTCATCTCCATCTTCTCTTAGCCATTTTGAAACCTTAGGCATCACACCAGCAAACTCAACAAAAAAACAGTGTCCCAAGTGGGAAACTCTCATATTGGTCAACATGACTTTCTTGAACATACCTGCCAGCAGTCCAATGAGAAGCATCACAACCCATCCTGACCATGCATCCAGTAAACTTTTGATGAATTCCCATATGGACTCCTTGCTTTTGTTTGTAATCTGGAAAAAAAAATGCTATTTAGCTGAAACAATATACACTGGAATAGCCTAAAAGTATAATTTGATCACTGACAAAATGGTTCTTCTACTTCCATGTTCCTACAATAATTAAGCAATGATACCCAGGCATGCAATGAATTGAAGACTTTTATTTATTCACTTTATGTGTACCCTACTTTTCTCCCCAATCAGGATTCAAAGTTGCTTACATCGTTTTCCACTCCTCCATTTTATCCTAAAAACAACCCTGTGAGGTAGGTTAGGCTGCAGCGTGTGACCAGCCCATGGTCACCCAGCAAGCTACCATGGTAGAGTGGGGATACAAACTTGGGCCTCCAAGTTCCTTGTCCAACATTATAATCAATACAAGACACAGGCTAAAGTTATTTCCAAATAACTGAAACTCAGACATATAATAAAATGGAAATCCATCATTGATTTTGAACACCAATATTCATTTTTATATTACCACAGATATCAAGGCAGAATATTATTCCAGAATCTACTCACACTAAGGCTATAACACAATGTAGGATAGAATGTTTCAGACCATTATTTAAACCTTTGACATTAAAGGATTCACACACTGCTTTAGGAATGAATGTTGCATCATGCATGGGTGGTAGATGGTCAGTTTCTTCAACTATCTTTCTCACATAATTATTGCAACTATTTGTGGTTCAGATCTGCTAGGAGAAGGAAGTTGATAATTGTCAGTTCAAGGGGCTGTCTGACATGCTCCTGTATCACTTACCTTTCTGTGTCTGTCCGTGTCACGTGATTTTTCCCTTAACCAATCAATAGTATGAAAATCTTCATATGTCCCAACATCAGGAAAAGGTTCGTCCAAAAAATCCATCAAGTTCCCAGAACCATTCATGTCTCCTGCATTAACCATATTAGTACCTATAAGGAAGTAAAACAAAATTCTGGTTTAAAGGTTCCCTTGCTCGAAAGCCAGTCAACTCCGACTCTAGGGTTGCAGTGCTCATCTCCGTTTCAAAGCCGAAGAGCCAGCGCTGTCCGAAGATGTTTTCGTGGTCATGTGGCTGGCATGACTAAACACCAAGGCACACAGAACTCTGTTACCTTCCTACTGAAGTGGTACCTATTTATCTACTTGCAATTTCTTGCTTTCGAACTGCTAGGTTGGCAGGAGCTGGAACTAGAGACAGGAGCTCACTCCGTCACGCGGCACACTCGTGTCTCGAACTGCTGAACTACCGACCTTCCACAGCCTGCAGTCATTTTAAACTTCTGTTTTCTTAGGGAGATCCAGTTACTCCAGTTTTATTCCAGTGAACAATTCAAATTTCCATGCCGAAGGATCACTTGATGTACAATCCATTTCAGGGCTTTTCTGCATTCTCATTTTCCTCACTTGTAAGTTTCTGTTTCTTTGTTGTTGTTTTTACTGTTCCACATGTTTTGCTCCCTCTAGTGGTCGATTCAATATTACATTGCTTTATGTCTGGCATAAAAACCTGCAGTCTAAATCTGCAGGGAGAGACACTAGATATAAACTGTATAATATGGAATTGTAATTGTATCATATAGAATTGACCACTAGAGGGAGCAAAACACATGGGGAACAGGACACACATGAACAACTGAAGAAATGGGAACTTACAAGCAAGGTAAGCACTACACCGCTTGGATGTAGAGGAAGAAGGGAAGAGATTGAATGTATACCTCACCCTTCACTCGGAGTCTCAGAGCAGCTTACAATCTCCTTTCCCTTCCCTTCCCAACAACAGACACCCTGTGAAGTAGATGGGGCTGAGAGAGCTCTTTTGAGGACTGCTCTTGAGAGAACAGCTTCAAGAGAACTTGTGACTGACCCAAGGTCACACCAGCAGCTGCATATGGAGGCGTGGGAAACAAACCTGGTTCTCTCAGATTAGAATCTGCGCTCTTGACCACTACACCAAACTGGTTAGGAGTGGCGGACTCTAATCTGGAGAACTGGGTTCGATTCCGCACTCCTCCACATGAAGCCAGCTGGGTGACCTTGGGCCAGTTACAGTTCTTTCAGAGCTCTCTCAGCCCCTAAAAACAAGTCTAGCTCACCACTAGCATAATGCTGAGAGCTAGAACTTGCACCTACCAGGGAATCTTCAGAACTCCTGACTATTTTACACACAATGGCATACGGTAATAATTAATTACAAGCAAGGAAAATGAGAATACAGAAAAGCCATATGTTTGTTAGAAAACATCAGAGAAGTACGTTGCTTGGATTTAGCATTTTGTTAGGGTGCAGTAAACCATTTTTCTTGTAATATTTTAAAATTACTCCTTTTCTTTCCCTGTGAATTGAAAAAAATGATCCTCCCATAAGATATGATAGTGTTTATGGGATTATACATTATAATGTTTTTTCTATACATGCATATTTAAAATAATTAATTAAGATTCAAAGAGTCACTGAGTTCTGTTCATCCAAGTTGGTTTCAGGATTGTGTTCCTAAAATAGAGCATAGCATGAACATGAGGGGCATTTTATAAGCAGTTTGTGAAATAGCATGGGGAAGGGTCTGCCATTCAAAGAAAATTTTTCTAGACAATAGCATGTAGTGACTCTTTGGAACCTAGCTTGTGCTTTTAAGCACCATTTCCTAGATTGGTATTGTCTGGCCTATTACAGAATTTCAGTCAGTTCCAGTAATCAATCAAGCCACAAACAACTACTTAAGTGAGCAGTATGAGAGGTGACCTTATGCAAGACCTCTTCTGTGAACCATAAAATTGTACATAGACATTTTTTTTCATTCGTGGAAGTGATTGGGCATAACATAAGAACATAAGAGAAGCCATGTTGGATCAGGCCAATGGCCCATCCAGTCCAACACTCTGTGTCATCCAGTGGCCAAAAACCAGGTGCCATCAGGAGGTCCATCAGTGGGGCCAGAACTCCAGAAGCCCTCCCACTGTGCCCCCCCAAGCACCAAGAATACAGAGCATCACTGCCCCAGACATAGTGTTCCATTTATACCTTGTGGCTAATAGCCACTGGTGGACCTCTGCTTCATATGTTTATCCAGTCCTGTCTTGAGCCTGTCTATGCTTGTAGCTGCCACGACTTCCTGTGGCAGTGAATTCCACATGTTAATTACTCTTTGGGAGAAGAAGTACTTCTTTTTATCTGTTTTATACCTACCGTTCATTAATTTCCTTTCCTTTCCAAATGCCCTGTCACAAACCAATAAGCATATCCCCTTAGAGCTTATATTATGATTATAGTGAATGGAGGTGTGGAGAAGAAATCTGAAGCCCTGTATTCAAAGAAATCTCCGCTTGAGGCTCCCATGAATTGACTATCATCAAATGTCCATATCAAAATGCTATCGTGGAATATCACAGGATGGAGCTGTAGAATGAAGGATCCTGTTGTTAAAACCTATATATCAAATTTCCATATCATTATGGTTCAGGAAACTTGGGCCAAAGAGAGTATTTGTCTACCTGGTTTTGTTGTTTTTGAAGTGAATGCTCAACCTAGCCTACACAATGGTTGCCCAAAGGCCGGACTAGCCTGTTTAATTTCCTCAACCCTTAACGGATATCAGATAGCTGCTCATCAGTACGTATTGGCATTACCGTTGCTCATTAATTTCAACAAGTACTCATGAGTTCTTGTATTGTGAGAAAGGGAGAAGAGTACTTTTTTCTCTACCTTCTCTATCCCATGAGCTCACATGAATTTGGTGCAAGGATATTACTAGTCATCAAGGATACCACTCAAGTGATAAGTGATTTGTAAGAGTGAGATGCTGATTGATGGAACCCACTCATTGATTTATATGGGGACATGTTGGGAGTTGGAAACTGTACAGGGATACAGACATAGGGACTCTGGAATATTGCAGGCCTGTTCCCTGAATGCTTAAGCTTTCATTTAACAAATTTAAACCAGGGGTGTCAAACATGCAGCCTGTGGGCCAGATCAGGCCCTCAGAGGGCTCCAATCTGGCCTGCAAAGACCTGGCTGTTTTCTGCTTATTTTCCAGTTCTTCTGCTGCTGCCATGTCGCAGCTTGCTTTACCAGCCTCTCTCAATCGCACAGGAGAAATACATAGGCAAGCCTCTCCTGTGTTGTTGAGAGAGTCCGGTAAAGCACTGGCTGAGGCTCCTCCCCCTCCTCCTCCCAGGGGGAGGGAGGGAACTGGCCAGGCTGCCTCAATTCTACAGGAGACAAAGGGAAGCCTTTCTTCCCTTCCACTGGCTGAGGCTCCTTCCTGAAGGGAAGGGAGGGAACGAGGAAGAACTTGCTTTGCTGGGCTGCCTCAATCGCACGGGAGAAATACCAAGCACTTTAAGACCAACAAAGTTTTGTTCAAGGTATGAGCTTTTGTGTGCCTTGCTACACCATGTGTGTGTTTTGTTGGGCTCCTTATGCCAGGGCTCTTCTGGGTGCAACTGAGTTCCCTCCCCCTTTTCACTGTATTATTGCCCTCATGATCCAGTCTTTCTCAGTAAGAAAGCAATGTGAACTATTTTAGAGGAGGAATAACAACAAATCAGTGAGGTGGATTAGGCTGAGAGTGTGTGTCCATACCAAGTTCACCCAGCACATTTCCTTTGTAGGAAGCTGTAGTTAGTTCTCTGGGGAAGAATATAGTCTGCGTCAGGATGCCTTCTCATGTTCTTGATGAGCACATGAAACAACATGTACAAAAGTTCACAATTCCCAGCCATTTCATGTTTTCTCTCAGAACACTGAGCATGAGATTTCTGTAATGAATATCAATAAATCAAAAGTAGGTTTGCAGCTTACAGATACACACCTGAACATCATACTCAGGATTGCTACAGCACAGACATTTTGATGCAATAATTCAGAGCAAGAGTTGTCAGTTGTCAGAGATTGTTAAATAGACAAAATATTGCAAGAGTGCTAGTGTTTTAAGCATGTTTTATTTAAAGTTTAAAAATCTTTGTGTTTGTCTGTGTCCTTTATAAAGTTTATATCTCCACTACCTGGCATTACATTTGATGACACGCATGGTCTGGCCCAACAAGGTCTCATTTATGTCAGATCTGGCCCTCATAACAAATGAGTTTGACACCCCTGATTTAAACAATGGGATTTGAGGGGAAATTGAAAACAACTCCTATGAAACATTTTCACTTTTAAAATTAGTGAAGTAAGTAAAAAAACCCAGTTGTACTCAGTAAAAACTTTTCATAAGAAGTATAGTATGAAGATTTTGATGTATCTTATTCATGTGTATATACTATAGATCTGCACAACATATTTTCGAATGTATGTTTATTGTTTAAATGGAGTTTCATAGTGGCTTACAGTCTTCTTCCCTTCCTCTCCCCACAGCAGACACCCTGTGAGGTAGGTGGGGCTGAGAGAGCTCTGAGAGAACTGCTCTTGAGAGAAGAGCTCTGCGAGAACTGTGGCTGAGGAGTGGAGAAGCAAACCTGGTTCTCCAGATTAGAGTCTGCTGTTCTTAACCACTACACCAAATTTCATAAATACAATTTTATATGCATATAACTATGAATGATGTATTTTGTTTTTCTAAGCCCTAAATATAAGTTTAGATTTGAGCAGAAAGAAAGTATTGCACATATTTCCATTTCTCCCAAAAATGTTAGAGTTTTATCCTCCCTCTCAGATTCAGAATTTATGGGACATCTGAATTTAAACTGTGCCTGGATACAGAGACCCAAATCAGAGTTGGGCCTCTGTGGGGCTTCTAAATGGAGTTGCCATCAGGCAATTGCAGTTGCACTATAGCTGCTAGCCTTTACGGTAAACTCATGTAACTGGTAATGTGTAGTTTGGCCCTCAAAGTCCCCCTTCCTTCAGCTAGTAACTGCCACAATTAGGCTAACACAAGGAGAGCTATAAGTAATCAATAACATAATGGGCCACAATGCATGTCTGCTTG